TAAAACACAAAAGTAAGAAGATTTAGCATTTGGTTAAAGCTTATTTGAAGGGTATGGGGAAGGATAAGGATAGATATAATTCAAGAACAAGAGAGTATCTAGTGCTTATTTCTAACAACGCCTGTTCTGATATTTTGCACAAATATCAGAGTAACATCCAGCAGATGAGGGTTTATTAAACATGGGGTGCAATGATTAAGAAAGTAAAGATAAGTGGGAGTTGTATGAAATGACATTTTCCCACAACATTGGTCATGCTTGATTAAAGAGATTTCCTAGTGAGTTGAGTCCTATTGAGACTAACAGCTTATTGGGGTTTCTTTTAATTAAAGTATCTCTAGAGTCCACATGAAAGTTATAAGAAATGTGTAGAATGCTACCATATTATATTATACTACCAGTTAGAGAACACATTCCGGAGACTATTTATGAAGCTTTGTTAGAACATTGCAAAGCATTAATTCACATTTTTAAAAGCAAATAAAAAGAAACAGATTTTATAGTATTTATATATATGATAGGTTTCAACAAAGAATACATCTATAGAATTTTTAAAGTTATATTTATTTTCAGTTTGAGGAAACAGCTTAGTTTAATAACACTAAAATTTTAAGAAATAGTCTAAGAAATCCCAGCCTTTAAATATATAATATAAATACATACAGTAATAAATAAAATGATAAATGCATTTTAATTCAGCAGTGTAAAATACAGAATATTTCCACACCATCTTGCATTTGATTTTGTTCTTATATTTTGGTATGCTTTTTGTTAGAAATACATGACTAACACTCCTATATCATTAAGCTTTTTATTGAAAAAAATATTATTGCATTGAACTACAGTCCAAGTAATTTATTGAATAACCTAAAAAAAGCTGCTTTGCATGTACAATAGTGCAATTTACTTAGCCACAGTATAGTTTAAAAAGAGAATTTATACAGAAAATGCAACACAAAATTATTGGTTTATGTGTCATATTGCCAGAGGATCACCAAGTTTAATTACAAATTAAGTACTTTATATAGAATTGAGTAAGATGGGAATTTGCTTTAAACAGCTACACAACTAATTTACATTGTCAACTATTTTATCTCACATATGGAAGGAACTAACAATTTTGCTTGGGGATAAGAAACTTCTTGAAGTTATTGTTTCAATATGTGAATATGTTTTTGAAAACACTATTTTCAACAAAGATCAAGATCTACAATTAAAGACTAAAGAGTATATTTATTTAAAACACACACAGATTCACACTCACATGTACACTCATACATATTTTAAGTTTTCCAATTTGCCTGATTTTATTTTAATGTTTCTCACGAGATATTCTTACTCTTGCTAATTAAGAAAAATGGGGGGGTTGCAAAAAGAGGAAGTGACTTTGAGAAAAGAATTTAAAAAGTGGATTGGGAGCTCTCCCTCCTATATATAGCTCCACAGAATGAAAATGACCCTTTGGCTTATCTTTCTAATATTGGCTTATTCTAAACCTAACCCATTCAGCTGCTGCTTCCATTTTAATATAGCTTAATCCAAAAATACAACAATCACCTTCAATGTCTACCTAATAGAAGTGGATAATATTTTTGCTGGAATGAAATGATAACCTTGGAAAATCCTCCAGACCCAGGCTTGTTGACAGGAGAACTTGTATTTTAGTAGGAAATTCTCATCTTAGTGAAGTGGTTTCAGTCTGAAACACAAAGGGCAACTATCTGTTTTCCTGACTATTATTGTGTGGAACTAGTCACTCACATGCTTTTTAATAATGTTTCTATTTGCCAATGAGAGCACATTTTCCTTCAGAATTTCATCTAATTTAAAGAATCAAAACTAAACCTTTTCATGAGGTTTGCTGGGCCAGAGATAAGCACTAGGTTCATTTTGCCCCTAACTATCTTATCTGCATACATTGATGTGTAAGATTTGAATCCTTTAAATTGTGTTTTTACAAAACTGGATCTGATATTTACATTTATTTTTTTCAGAACGTTAATTATGTTTCTGAAAACTCAGAAACTCTGAAAATGTGGAGAACTTTTTAGGGATGATTAAGAAATGTGCTACTGATTTGAGATGAGCAGCAGTATTATTTCACCACTAAGGAGTTAACTATCCACATATCCTGGGGTGGAGGGGGGGGATCTGGACGTTTCATTCATACACATGTAGAATACTTGAATACCAAGCAGTATCCTAATGGGTAGAGCCATCTCCATATCTCCAATTATTGTTTCAAATCATTTGAAGTACATTTCAAATGATTTGAAATGCTTAAAAGTATGGTGGTAAAATTCAGAAAGCTGTGCTGCTGCCAGCATTTGGAGCTATGTAAGTAATAACTTCATGCATTAACGAGATAGTCAGATTCAGCAATAGAATCCTGAGTAATTGTACTGGTTAAGTGTTTCATTTAACAGAAACATTTTACAGAATTAGTTTCTTTAAGTATATTTCCATTTAGAGATAACAGAGAGATTCCATTAAGTCCTGGCAGAAACTAAAGAAAAGGAGTCACTGTTTAAATCCATTTTTGGGAAGTGAAACAAATTTCAAGGGATTTTGTAAAATGTCTACCTAAGCAAAAACTTTGGGAATTGGAGACTTTCTAAATCATTCTCTATATTCTAATCACTTCCAATATTTATAACGTCTTAAAGATAAACCTTAAGTTTACCTTTGCATTTTTATAGGCCCATTGTATTTTTTTCTTGCTGAATTTGGCAGGGAATTATTAAGATGAACTTTCCCACATTTTCAGTTCTTCATACAAAGTATTTATTTTGTTTACCTGGAATCCAATGATACTATCTGATGCTAGACTGGTTCATAATCTGTAAGAAAGACATACAGATAGATAAATGTGTGTTTGTGCATGCATGTCTGTAAAGATTTCACAGTCTTTCTTAAGCATTTAGAGTTTAAGACAGATTTTTTACAAAACTGCCTCCATGAGCCACTTGTGAAACAGTAATCCCATGAAGAGAATTAACCTGTAAATGTCAGGCAATAGTCATAAAGTAAATTTTATGCTAAAAGTCACCTGTCAAATAATTATGTAAATGGAGGGAAACACTGCTAAAAAAAATCCATCACAGTGACAATTTTTTTTATAATTGAACTATTTTAGGGTTCAATATATATTTTCAATTCTGTTTATTTTTTTTTCCCAGAGTGTGTTTATCTTAAGGTAAAATGGAAAATAAAACAGTGTTTCAGCCTATAGTTACTGATTTGGAAGGAAGTAAGATGCATAATTGCATATTTCCTCATGTGATGCCACAACTTCTCCAATTTCTCACCTTTGAGTACAAATTATCTTTTATTTAAAGGGAGACGGTTGCTTTCCACATAGTCCAAATTAGTTTGTACAGTGAACACTTCATCACTGTTAATACAAGATGGAATAGTCACTTCCATGCCATCCATTCATATCAATCTGTCTTTGTTAGTCAAAATTAAGTGCTCAGTAGAGGTGCTCAGGTCTAACCTTATGAGAGTTTAAATTGTCACCAAGGCAATTACAAAAATCAATCAGGCGGTCAGTGTCTATAATAGGACTTCTAGTGAGTTCCTATGATTACTCTATCTTGGCTCTGCATCAGCTTCGTAATTTGCTTTAGGAAATAATTATCCACATTACTTAAAAAAAAAAAAAGCCTGCTAGACCATTTGTCATCCATTTTATAAGAAATATTTCATTTGTCTCACTTCTTTTTGGATTTACTCAATGTTCATCAATGGTCTTTTATAATCATTTTTATGGAATTCCATGCAAGTATAGCTCCTTGCTATTTGATGGTTTTTCTTCATTTCTCCATTCATTTAAAATAAATTAGATTTTGTCACTGTTATATACCAGTCAGAACACTCTTCTCACAAGTTTCTGGTGATATCTTGGAAACTGCAGTTTTTCTTTCTGTTAAAACTTCAAATTTACTTTATCTCCTTTTATTATTTTTCTTCCCTCCACCCTTTCTTTCTCTTTCTCTCTCACCTGTCTCTCCTGAATCAGTGATGTCCTTTCCTACTGTTTACCAGGTATTTAGTATTTAACCTTTCTACTTCATTTTCCTTACCTGTAATGAGGAATGATAATACTGATTTCAAAATACAGTTGTGAAAATTAAAGAAGATAATGCAAACAAGTGGTTAGGGTACCTCTACCTGAATCACAACAGGCCTTAAGTAAATATAGCTATCTTCCTTTTGAAGCCAAGGCTGAAGAAGTAGAGGAGTTTGCATCTTTGTATAGACAGCATTAGATAAATGATTACCTCCATTTCTGTTAAGTTTGATTTTCTCTGAAACTCATGCTTAAGAACATAAAATAATAAACCTAACTGTAGGATTATGCACCAATATAGATGTATGAAATACAAATTTTGGGGGCCGAAAACCATTTTGAATGAATGTTTGAAATTATTTGCAAAATTACATGGATGGTGATTTTATTCCTCATCATTCATGTTTCATAAATATCTAGTACAAGTGAATAAAACACACCAGATATTTAATAAGATATCCTCAATAAACATGTAAAAACACTGACATTTTCAAACCTTTACCTCTATCCTTACACATGTATTGGCTGAACATAGTAAAATTTTTGAGTAGAAGAATAATAAACATTTTAGTTCCTGTAATATTTGACAGATTGACCAATATATTTAAAAGATTATTCTGAGCACAATTTATTTTGGAGTTTGCATCATCAAACACTAATGATAGCTTGTATATGTTTTTTATACAAAAGTTAAACATTCTTAGTTTTAGATTTTGCTGATTCTTACACTTACAAAATTACCTTGACATAGATTTGTGTGAAATGAAGATAGTTTATTTTTCACAGAAACTCAAAAGTATAATCTATAAAGATTGTTTTTCATTAAAGCGTAATTTTCAACCTAAATTAATCAGAAAATGTCTTGTTCTTATTTCCTATGAAAATACAGTAACAGACTACATTAATTTAAAACTTAGTCAATAGTTAACGATAGAAATTACTTTAAATAATTACTTCATTTCACTGACCTTTTATTATCTAACAAATAAGCCAAATCAACACTCATTCATTCGCGCAACAAATACTTAGAACACAGGGCACCACATTTCATCTGATTTTTCTTTTTAATTTTAATGCTCTGCTTGAATGTTTTCTGTTGCATTTTATAACATGTGAGAACCCATCCAAAACAAATCTTTAACCCTTTCCCTCTTCCCTCTACATTTTCATAAAATTATTTAAATTGCCTATTATTTTGGCAAGCTAAAAAATTATTAAAATGCTCTTTGTTTTAATATTAGCAATTCAGTTCATATTTATATATTGGTCACATTTTGAATTGGCACCAATATTTTAAATCTTACAATAGATAGACTTCTTTAAATATATTATTGTATAGGTAGTGACAACTAAAAAAATTATCCACAAGAGGGGCTTTAACACTTATTAGTTCAAGTGTGTGGACACATTTAAGGCCTCTTTCACTTCATTTAACTGTTGCATCTGGCTAGAGCAAGAATGATGGCAAAAATCTTGACCTTGGAATACTGGTTGGATTAAAGGATTCAAATGGATGATAGAAGTTGTGGCTGGATTTAAGTGAGGGCCAAACAATGTAGGAATAAATGCTGTAGGGGGCAGGGGCTGAAGTGTTATGTGAGATGGGTGGAAGGGGGTAGCAGCTACTAAATGCAGGGGATGACCTGCTAAGAAAGTGGGGTGTGCAGGTATTATGGTTGGAGTCAGAGTCGAAAATGAAATAGGAGTGAAATGTGCCTGTGAAAGAGGATGTAGATGAGCAATAGGGAGGTGACTGTTATGAGAACTTAAGGAAGCAGAAACAGCAAAATGCTGCAGGAACGTGTGGTGGATGGTAGTGATAGAAGTGTGCTGGTGAACTGGAACTGTCTGTACGGTTGAAGCCGGAGAGAAGGCAGTAGGCCCTGCAGCAGGCAAAACTCGAAGATGCTTTGACAGGAGTTGCTTCTGCATATGCTGCTGGGCTTGTAGCTGTAGGATCTTATATTTATCTATTTCGTCAGGAGAAAATGTTATGGGTTGTTGAATTAAAGGGGGAGAGAGAGATTTATGACACACGTCTAATTCGTCTTTGACTTTGTCAGGCTTCTGCATAGTTCTGTCATAGTAAGAGTTTATATTTCCCTCTACATGATTTATATGCATGCTTGCATCCTGTAAGTCTAGATTTATTTGGTGTTCTTTGGTCTCTGTTGAATCAGTAACACCAGTATATCTATTAGATGGCAAAGCACCAGGGAATTCATTTGGTACTGGGTCACAGCATTGAATAAAAGGTTGGATTTCACTAATTAAAGGTTTTGATTGTTCTTTTGTTGTTGGATTCATTTTTATGTTTAGTGACTGAGACTCTGTTACTAGGTGAATTATACCTTTAGAAAGATGGTTATCACAATCAGTGTCTGCTAAAATTGTAAAATTATTTGTCTGTGAGCTTTTGCTTTTGTCTTTCTCCGTAGTCCTTGGAATTGCACTGTCTTGATCATTTCTGCTCTCACTTGCATACTGTATTTTTTCAGACAAAGGCAATGCTTGTCTGTTACAGCCTGATGGTACAAGTTGAATTGTGCATGGGACTTGCGAAGGAGCCTCTAATTCATTTTTACAACTGTTTGAAGAGACCTCAACATTACTTGATTGTTCCTGACATTTCTTGGCTTGTACTCTTTCTAAAAGGCTTTTTGCTGTCAGAGGGCTCCTCTCTCCTTCTGTAATGTTCGATTCTGTAGTTTCTGAAGGGCCACTGGAACAGTTCTTTAGAAGGCAGCTGATGTTCCCGGAGTTATACTTCATGGGCCTGACTTTTCCCAGATCACAAATGTGAGGGCTGCCCAAAGACTCTTGATTTCTCTTGCCTTTATTCAAGTAATAAATTTTCTCCCTTGAGTAAGAGTCCAATCTATCGTGCTGAGTTCCCTGGCAATTAGGTGGTTTTTTACTGCTTCCAGTACAGGAAATCTGTGAGTTAGAATCACAACAGATGATTCTCGTAGATTTTAGCCCTGAAAATTGTTGTTGATTTTTGCCCAGTTTTTGTCTTTCTCTACAGTGACAATATCTACGTTTTGAGTATTTTTCATTTTTAAATGATTCCCACAATTTGCAGTTCCTCTCTTTCTGTGGTTCAGACTGCATTTGACTGCTCTTTGCTATTTCATCAGACAAGTAGAGGCAGTTGTGCTTCAGACATTTCCGTTTGTGCCTTTCAACTGAGTGGTGTTCTCTTTTATAGAAGCAGAGAAAATTACCTCTGCTATTACCATTGAATCTATGACTTGAACAAGTACTTCTCAAGCTAGACACGCTGCTAGGGGATGTGTCCGAAGAGCAAGAATATCTACTCAAAGATGACTTTGGAGAGCATCTCTTGTATCTTCGGTCTCCACATCCAGAAACCTTGTTGGTCATGCTGATGTGGTTACTCTTTAAAATTACACTGAAGTCTTTCCCATGGTCACTGTTACCCCCTACTGTATAACAACTGGACTTGCAGTTGAATTGTCTTTCATCTTCAAATTCCAAATGAGGATTGCAGGGAATCAATTTATTCTTTTTAGTCCTAGAGATGTAGGAAGGACAAGATAGGTCCTCATCTGTATCATTTAGAACTACCTTTCTGCTGCCTTGCCAATGGGCCCTTGAAGCTTCCTTAAGTTCGTTCTCACTATTATTCTTTCCAGCATAATCCTTTAGAGATGTATTGAGGTAAAGAGGCACTTCAGGATTTTTCATTTCCAAATCATTTGCACTAAAAGCATATTCACTCTTATTTGGCTCAGAATCACTGTAGTCCAAATTATATTTCCTCTGGAATTTTTCCCAATCCGGATTAGCTATCATCATCTTTGGTTTCAGATATTGATTATCTTCTTGGATCAATTTTTGTTGGTCTTCGATTACACCTGAGACTTGGCTCTCTCTTTTAGTCTTCACTTCCAAGGACTTCTTACACAATTCTGTTTTTAAGTCCTCTGGATTGTGGTCTTCCTTTGTGTTCCGAGAAAGCTTAAAATCAAAATATAGTGGGTTGCAGCCATAAGAGATACAGGGTTCTGTTTTTGTAAAGAGCAGAAGTTCCGTAGGCCATTGAAGAGTGGTGTGGCCATCCTTGCTTTGAACGTGGAGAAAAGGCAGTGGTTTAGATGCCACATTATGGGTACATGCTTCTCTTACAAGTCTTTGAACATTTTTGCTAACTCTTTCTGTTTTATCTAAAGATTTTTCTCTGTTCTCTATTCTGGAATTTGGATTCAGATGCACTGTACTCTTTTGTTCACTTGGCTCTGCTGATGAAAACTCATCCAGGCATTCAAATATCCTGGCATCACTATGGTTGTAAATGTTTGGTGGGCTGAAGGAAGCATTTGCTTGGCATGGGTGATTCACACAGTTTTCTAAAGTGTTCTTCAATGTATTTCTAGTTTCTTTTTCTCTGCTGGAAGGAGTAAAATCTACATCTGAAAGATGAATGTTAGATTTAGAGAATGAAGCATGGATGCCAATTGAATCTTCTAGTGTCTCATCAATAGAGTTGTTATTGTCTTGCAAAATTTTAGAGTTTAGGGAGATGGTATTGTGTAAAACACTTTCCAGATGGCTTGGTGAGATGTTTACCTCTTTTTCCTTGGTAAGGTGTGTATCTTTATTTGCAAACCTGCAGCACTTGCATTTATCTGCAATTTGTTTTGTTTTATAAATGGGTGACTTGTTACAATCGTGAGTTTCTTCTGTGTTCTCACTGAAAACTGATGCTGAAGATTCTAATTTTAGGTGCACTTTTTTGGAAAAAGAAAATGATACTCCTGTTCTGTGATTTGCATTGCTGAGATCTGAAGATGTTTGAGGTACCCGATTTCCAAACAAACAACGCCTGTCTGATTGTAATTGGTGTCGATTTGGCACGGTGGACCGCTGTTTATCGGAAATGATTCTGGGGAGATTTTTTCCTTTAAGGAGAAGAGCACTCTTCATGCATGATACCTTTCTGCCATTCTTAACGGGGAAAATTCCTTGCTGGAGTTGCTTTTCTATGGCTACCTTGGGGGCTTTGTATGCTGGTCCATTTCCAGAAACACTGTAAATACAATAAATATTTAAATGATTAAGATACTAGCTTTGGAATCGTATCTACATATGAACATTTCATAGTGTTTCTAAGATGAGTTATTTTACAATTTATGAGCTACATCTTCTAAAATACAACCTTTTGTTGTGCTTATATAGCTTAGCATAAATTTTACAGTGGCTATTTCTAAAATGAATTGTTTACATGTAGTATTTTGCAATTACCAAAAAGCAATAGCAAGTGAATATCTTATGCTAGTGCTTCTAAAGCATTTACATCACAATATATGTCCTACAGAATCTATTAATCTTAGGAATACAGATTTAACATTATTTCACTAATAGTTTTCCGATCAGTGCATTCACATTAAATAAGAAATTAAATAGAATTAAAAGTCACTTTAAAAATATAAAAATATTTTTTAAATTTGCTTTTATGTATTAGTTCTAACATTTTATAATGTTTAGTTCCTCGGTTTTAAAATTCCCTCATATTCACTTACCTTTGAAACACAGTGATAAGTTCTTTCTTTATGACTTGTCAGTAATTTGACTAATTATAATAAATGCATAATAAAATAAGAGATATGTACAATCTATCTAAATGTCTTCAATGATTTTGAAATCTTTTCCTTTGCTTCTTACTCACCAAAATATTTTTTTCTACCATTTCTGTATTATATGTTTTATGTTTTGAAGGTCTTAAAAGGTTATTTGTTCTACTGAGCTTCATTAGCAATTCATACAGAAGACTGAAAATACCAACATATATAAGAGATAAAATTCTTTAGATTAAAATTATATGCCCTTTAACAGTCTATCTATATAACCTCTACTATAAAAAGGCTTCACTGGAAAGAAGACAATACAAATCACATCATTTTTCTTATTGTTTGCTTTGAACTGGCATTATTTTCCTTTTTCTTGTTCCATATGCTTGGATATGTTTGTTTGCTTATTTCTAATTTTGATTTTTATTTTACTTTCATCTAGTCATTTGTTGCTTGAATATGAAATTCTAAGCCAACTGATATCTCTTCCATATGTTGCTCAAATTCTAATGTAGAGTAGTGCTTTCTGAGTCCTTGTCTAACAAATTCCTGTTGGTTTCTTTTACCCATTCTTTGGCAAATCAGCATAGAATTCAAGAGTCACAAAGTACAAATTTCATGTACTTTGCTTCATTGTCTCTAGATGTATAATATTACAGACATACTGAATTAACCTCCCTTTATTTATCTTTGAGATGAATCTGCTTGTGTGCCTGTATGCTTTTCCCTTTGTATAAAGTGTAAAAATATAAACACATATAATTTATTAGATTTGTTGCATAAAGAGTATATATATTAATATGTATATATATGTATGTATAACATTTTAACAGAACATAGTTACAGGTTGATTAATTTGGGTGAATTTTTACTAGTAGTTCTTGGGCACTTTGAATTTAACTTTCTTCAGTTCAGATACATTTTTTTTCCTCGATTTATCTGATTATTGCTTCCTTTGGAATTTATGTTTTAAAATCATTGGTTCTCCTGAATATATCCTTTAGGTATTGATATTTATCTCAGTACTTTACTCTGTCTTCAGTCTTTTTCTATAGTTCAGGCAGAATTTCTTTGATTTAATTTCTATTTTACTGACTCAAATTTTTTACAATATTCAATCTGTTTATAAATTATGACCGTATGGATTTTAACTTGCAAACAATAATTTTAGCCACTATTTAGTTTTTAATGATTTTAGAATGTCATGTCATTTAATGATTTTAATCATGTCATTTAATGATTTTTCATGAAAGTCATTTTAGAATGTCTCCTCTTCATGAATGGTTGTAATTTTAGAATTACAGAGTTCCTTTAAATCTTGTAAAAAACTAAATTTAGAAGTTTTTAAAAGCTGTATTCTCTTCCTTACAGTAACTCTTTCATAATGGAAATTTCTTATTCATCACATTAATCTCCTTTTTTTGAGTCATCTTTTTATGTTCATTAGGCATATTTAATAAAATGAATAGTGAGGAGCATTCTAAGATGGCATATAAGTTACTGAATGTTTCTTTCAAGCACAAAAGGATATAAGGAGTGTAGAGACTTTATTACAACATTATTGGTCTTTGAAAATGCCTCCAGCCTGCAGATAGAAGGAAGTGATCCAGAAACAGCTGCAGCATTCAACTTTGCCTTGGTACCAAAGAGATTATTTCCCATATTTGTAGCCACCATTTGGATTAAGTAGGAACTATACTTCTGGATTAAGTTAGCCTTCTCCAGAAACTTCAATCAATCTGACATTATCACCTGTATGAAACTCATACAGGTTGAAATTATTCCACAAGTCTAGTGTATGGATACTATTGTTCTTCCTTTCCCAATTCCATTATTATGCAGTGATTTTAGTATTTATTATATCATGTTATATATATTATATATATCCTTTTCTTAATAATAATTTTGCTGATCATCCTGACACTATTTTATTCATTTTCTTGCTTTACGCTAATCTAAATGTTCTTTTCTGTACTGCTATTTTATTTTACCATTTAGCTCTCTAATGTGCAAGCTTCTTCTTTTTACATTCCTTTAAATATTTTAAAATTTCTTTGCTCTTATTGTTTTTGTAATATACTGTTCTCTAGCTTCTTGTCCTTCATTCTAGTTCTCATTTTGCAATTTAAATTGCATTTATAATTATAGATTTTTCACAAGTTTTAACATTTTGTCCTTATTGTTAATCTTTGATACTTCTTACTTTTATTCTTTAAACTTTTTATCTTGTTGCTTTATAAACTTTAATTTGCTTTTTCTTAAATCAAAGTTATTATTTTGGAAAACCCTGTTTTTATCTTTGTGGGGTTTTAAATTCTACTATTTTAATACAAGTCTATGTATTATAACATTATTATAGCTTTAACTTTTTCTAGGATTATTCAGATATAACTAGAAAATAAAAATTGTATATATTCAAGGTACACAATGTGATCATTTGATGTATGCATACAAATTAATTTATACATCTATCATACACGTAGTTACCATTTTGTGTGAGATAAGGACACCAGATTCACTCTCTTGGCAAATTTCAAGTGAACAATATAGTATTATTAGCGAAGGTAATCATGCTCTACATTAGATCCTCAAAACTTTTCATCTTACATCTGAAAGTTTATAAACTTTGAACAATACCTTCAAATTTCTCCCACCAGCCAGCCCCTGGAAACCACATTTGCATTCTCAATGAAGCTTCAATTTTTATAGTTTTCTCCACATTTAATGTTTCCCTCACTTCTTTGGAACTTTCTTTAGTTTTTAAAATATTTTCTTACTTATATTAAAATAATGGTTAATAAAATGTCTGTGGAGTTTGGCTTTTAATTCTTATTGATTGATTATCCATTCAAATTGTTCTCCAAAAATTCTAATACTCTGCAGCTTAACGAATGCAAAATTTTATTCTCTCCTGTTCAAAAATCATCCTTTCCAAACAGAAAAACATATCAAAACAACATGATTTTTTAAAATGGTGTCATTTTTTAATGTTCCATTTTCCAGCTCTTATATGAAAAACTTCATAAATATAAGAGCTAGGTAATGTGGAACATTAAGAAATGACACCATTTAAAGAATTCACAGTCTCAGAATCAATGGCCCTAAAATTTTTAAATTTTGGAAAAAGTTTAATATTAAGATGTACTTAAACTTATATATATAAGAAGTTCACATACAGAGAGTGACTATCCCCTCATCCCCATATAATAACTGATATTGCTGAGGAAACAGGTTGGCTGGAACTAGTTAAGAGACGGTCAAATTTGACGACCCTTTATAAGATCTATTACTATTCTTTTGGCCATCATTTTACGCACTACCAGTAAATTCACCTCTCTTCTCCCAAAGGGTCACGGAAGAATTTTGTTACCTGGATCGTACTATTCAGAAGCCCTCATTATGAGGAAAAAGGACAAAGAAAGATTGTCTGGGAGAAGAGTAATGCCAATGATTTTTTCTTTTTCTTTTATTTTTAACTTTCACTTGTCAATTCACCTACCAAAATAAAGTATTTGTTAAGTGACTTTCCTTCAGCCATGAGGCTATTTAAGCAGAGAGAGCAATTGGCTAGGTGGCAGGTGATGGGTAGTAGAAGATAAAAAAATATTTTCCTAGTTTCATCCTCTATATCTAGAAAGCTGAACCTAGAGAGCTTGCCTATTTTATCAAATCACCAAAAGGAGTGGTTAGGTTTGTGATTGTTTAGTGAATAAGGCTTACAGAGGGACAGCTGAAACTTAATAGAGTGGACCTTTTTATTTGGAAGAAACTTAATGGGTAGCTCTGGCAAACTTAGAACTTCTAAACAAACCATCATCATCATCACCATCATTATCATCATCACCATCACCATTACCACCGCCATCAGCAAGCCACCTCTGATTTTTTGTTATTTACGCCAGAGGAAAATATAGAATGGGTAAGTAGAAATGTAGAAGTGTGACAACTTTCATAATAACAAACAACCAAAATTATATTTATTAAGACTATTTAGATTTGCTGTTGTGGCCTTAAGGGACCTATCTAAAGATGTCTATCTATGGTCGAACTTGTACCATTTGTTACGATCTGATTTACTGTGTCTCATCATTAATCACTCCAGGAATTGACTCTTTCCCTAGATCGTTTCCTGCATGCTGCCCTAACAACAATAGAACATTTCCTTCTAAGTCCTATTTTGGCAAGGACTGTCTGAGTTCTCAATGACAATATGTTTGAACAACATATTGTAAGTCCCTCATTGTGTTGACTGTAGAAAGCTCAGTAGCAAATGTATATGTTGCTTCTAGCGTTGTATAAGACCCCAGACCATGCATTTTTGTATTAACCTTACTTCTGATACGTGTTGTATCTTTATTTTGTCTTCATACCAAATTTCTCATTTATTTTTAATATGATTTTTATGTATTTTCATAAATTAATTAGATTATTTTAAGAGTTACAAATACATAAATACATGCAAGTTGAATATTAATTGTATTTTTACTCATAATTGGTCCTACAAAAATAAGTGTTTCCTTAAAATTACCTTTTAAGTCTAATATTTTGTGGTAACTAATTGAGCTACTCACTCCTGTTTATTACATATTTTTTCCATTTAAGCAACAGGGGTTTAAATTCTGGCACAGAGGCATAAATTTCACAATTCACTAGGTTGCTGTCAAACACATTAATTAGCTACATTAGTGTTTTACATTATGATTCATATGCACACAAATCACAATCTGCAAATTTAATTGCATTCCAGGTAACAACTTTGAAACATCCAGTGGTTCCAAGCTTTTGTAAAACTGCTATTTTTCAGCTACAAAAATGTTGTTATATTATAATTATCAATTTAAATGGCACTGTGTGGTAAACTTAACTGCATTAATTACATCTTGTTTGTCAGCCAGACAATGATCGTGTTATTTATACTCCACTCAGGTATGTACAGGGAAATGTTCAGAAGACGTATTTTCCACCCCCTAAGATGTATTGTTAATTATGGTTTTTAAAAGTATTATTATAAAATTTAGAACATATATTAAGAAGTGATATTAATCCATTTATTCAACTGGATAGAATAAATGCTAATGTATTTGAATCATTCTGGGATCATTTCATTATAGGGTACATTAAATTAACAATATTAGGAAAGAAAAATATCAAAGGCCAAAAGTAATTAATTTATGTATGTTTAACTATATTTGCCCTTCAGATATATCTGTTAGTTAGTTATTATTTGTTTACACTGTTACAGTAGATTTGCCTTTAAAACTTCCCAATAGGTTTTGAAGAGAGTTTTGAACCATTCCAGACACCTTTAATTCTTACCATTCAGATTGCTGCCTTAACTCAGCCAGCTGATGGAGTCGTTTAAGTGCTTTTTCTTGTTTCTTCTCATCTTTCCATGACTTAGAAGCTACATTCCGAGCAAATTCCCTTTGCTTTAATTCTTTCAGTCTCTGTGGAAAAAGAAGAAAAACCAAAAAGGTAGTATAAATAAATAATATATTCTTTTCCATCCACAAGGCTCCGTATTATTCTTTATCCTAAGTGCAGAGGTGACTTTCTGGACAGAAAGAGTAAAAGTATCTTCTCCATTGTTGCTATTCTCTGCTCCAAGACACATTTAGCAGATAAATGTAGTTGTCAACCAGGTTATTTTTCCAAGCTTGTCACAGTCACTGCAAAAATGTGCTGCAAAGCTGTGCCCCAGGCCTTGCTGGTGTCACTCTGGCTATTCAACTATAATAATCTGTGTGCCTATAAAAACACAAATGGGAAAAAGATGCAATATATGAATGAGTATGAAGGGAGGCAGGTTATGAGATGCATGTTCCTCCACCCACCTGCCCCTCACTTGTAAAATTGATTCTATTGAATACACTGGGTGGGATGAGCTTGTTTCAGGAAAGAGCATCTGTTACTGTGAAAGATTTAGTTCAAAGCTCTAAATGTGATTTTGACTTCTATTTTTTTGGATGGAGATATTTATCAAATACATATTTCTATATTGTATCCAGGAAGACAGAAAAAAAATGAGTCAGGGATTTAAACTCAGAATAGAGGCATGGCCCTGCTTGACTTAAATTCACATTCACCCACCACTTATTTTAATTAATATTTTCTCTAAAACAATTGACTTACATGCAAGTAAGACCTCTTCTTTAGAATCCGCCACTAAGCACAGCTAATGATATTGAATGAACTGAGAAACAGCCAAAATCAAATGAACCTCTTGAAGTTTAGGGCTTAATCCTGAATTGGAAGTGTATTTAAAGATTATCCTCTTAACTCATACAAAGTGATTTTAAACAGTCTAAAATATGTATCTGTTGAAATTATTTTCATTTCCCATATTAAGTATAAGAAATGTTTCCCAAGTATGGAGAAAACTACATAGTTATCATGTGAGGTAATAATACTGTAGCTGACTGTTACCCAGAGCAAATGCCAAAACTTTTCATTAGCTTCATTCTTTAAAGGAAACATGCTCATGGTAGACAGTGGTCAGATAACTACATCTAAGCTAAGGATTTGAAGAAGGCAGATCGGTCTTTCAAAGAGAGAATATTCTGAGCACAAAGAACAAGAACCTCACAGAATTAGAAACAGCTACAGGGAGAATAGTGGACTCAACCTGAATTCAATTTTTGACAAATACTTCAAATCCTTCTAAAAATAGAAAATTTCAAGAAATATAATTATGCTCTATATGTTATCAGAAAAAAAAGATCAATAGTTCTCTGGAAATTATAAAGAACAGATGATCTGAGCATTAAAGAATGGATACCGTTGGTCAGAAGACAGGAAGAAAGGTTTATGAAATCCTTATTGCTACGTACCCTGCTACTCACTTCCTCAGACCCTATGTACTTGGAAGCCTAGTTCTTAGAGTGAGGCCTTGTCTTACAAGCGAAGACCTTTTGGAAATTGTCCTACATGATTTAAGAACACACATAAGCTATAGTTCAACTGTGTCAGAGAGAGAAAATTGCTATTGGAAAAAAAAAAAAAAAGAGGGTTTTTTAATACTCTGTTAGTACTGAATATAAATACTCCATATTATATTTATTTAATATTAGGTATTACCAGCACATAAAACTTGTATAATGCAGAGGAGGAAATTGATTCATTTACTCACAGCAATTGACACTTGACTCATTTTTGGAATCATGTTTGAAAATTTGGGGTACCTCTGTTTCTGTTATTAGCCTTCTAGATTCCAGAACTATACTTTTATTTTTGAGTTATAGAAATGATTGAGAATTCTGTACTGTTTATCTAACAACATATATTGTTAATTGCTACTATGTTAATCCTTATTCTTACTATGAAATGTAAAAATATACAAATCAACAAATCAATTTTTTTCCCTTCAAGGAAGACAGACAAGTGGTTACACTTCTATAAGATAGAGTTTCTTAATAAGGGTGCATACAATGTGCTTTGGAAATATACAGGAATAGTAAAAGATTAATTGTGTTTAGGAAGTTTGCAAAGTTAAAATGTTTTTAAGGAGCACAGAAAACTGGAAGAAGAGATTTTGTTTAAAGACATCTAGCCACAAATTTGGTTTAGTCAGTTCTGAGTGCTCAAGTTTAAGCAGAGAAAAAACCCCAGATATCTGCCTTAAGTTTTCAGTGTACTGAACAATGCATCTGTGTGAGGAAACTGTTCCAGTTTAGGGGAAAAAAAGTCATCTGAAAGAATGTAAGAACAACAGTGTCTAGCATTCATATAAGGCCAGGAATAGTGGTTGTTTTCACTAACAAAACTGGAAAAAATAATAGGATATTGAATAGATAATTCAGAAAAGTCATGCTTCAGTAGAGAATAATTAGTCATAGATTGAGTACTACTTTGGAGTTGCTTAAAAAAATCATAAAAGCAAGAAATAAAAGTATAAAACTGACTCCAAGTAACTTAACTGAATCATAGTACTAAACACTAGGATATGTATTGCAATACAAAAAAAAAATGAGAAAAATGAATATCTTGTATCCAATCAAATATTATCAGGATGTAACAGCAGTTGAAACTGGTCTGTAAGTTAAAGAAAAATATACTATAAACTCTACAGCAGCCATTAAAATGATAAAGTGTTCTAGGTAGGAGGACAACAAAGGAGATAAAAGAACATCATTAAATGTACTCAGTGCAAGAAAATGCAAAAAAAAAAAAAGTAAGATATACTGGACAATTATAAAATAAATAGCAAGATAATAAATCAAATCTAAACATAATAATAATATTAAATGTAAATCTAAACATAATAATAATACCAAAATTAAAAGAGAGTATTTTTTGGATAAAAATGTGAGTTCATCTCTGTTGACCACACAAACAAGCTTTTTTAAAAATGAGGACAAAAGAGTTAAAAGAAAAGAATGTAAGAACATATATTATGTCAACACGAGTCAAAAGAAAGCTAGGAGGGCCATATCACTGTAAGACAGATTAGATCTCAGAGCAAAGATATTTTACCAGGAATAAGGAAGGTTTCTTCATAATGATAACGGAGCATTAAAATACACAAAGCAAAAATGGATACCTACCGCATGGAGGAAATAAATGGACAATTATTAAAGAATGTTTCAATGTCTTGCTATTAAACATCAACAAAATACTAATTTCAAATCCAATACTTATGGAAAACGTTACACCAAAGTGATTGTATCTCTTATAAAAGACCCTTCCAAAAGTGTATTTGTCTGATGAAAACAGGACTATCAATCACTGGACAGATGGGGAGGATTTCTAAGAATCCAGAGGCCAAAATTTGCCAGCCTCATGTTTTGGCTTAGCCCAAATTTCTATTTTTCTCCCCTTGTTCTGACAAGAACTCATTTATTTCAGCCATGGCACATACAATGATTGTCAGTAACCTTCCTCCATTTAAAGAGAACATAATGCATTTGGGAAGAAAAATGTTCTTTGAGGGTGTGTAATTAATCAGCTCTTATTGAGAAGAGACAGCACATGGCATACATATTTCAGAAAAAAAAAATGCTACTTTACACGTTTACAAATAATAATGGGAAAACAAATACGGTATTGTGCAAAGTAGGTGGTAAAGAGTGAATCCGCTTTATTACCGTATAGTCTACATAATAAAGAGGTAGCATAGGTAAGATTACAAGAATACCTTGCATTCTTATTCTTTAATGATAAAGGTAGATGGCCATAAAGTAAAGAAAACTAAGCAACACAATTATGATACAAGTGTGTTGTATTATTAAATACATTTTTGCATCTATTTAAAAGGATCACATTATTAATTTCTCTTTATATAGTGAATAACTTCTATTTGTTTTATTGTGTTAAACTTCACATTCATAGGATGAATATTGCTTGTTTTTTATATTAACATTTTGAAATATTGATGGATTTGATTTGCTAACATTCATTATGAACTTTGCATCTATGTTCATGTGTGATATTGGCCTGTATTATCTTTCAAAGTCCTTGTGTCATTCCAGTGTGGTTTTAGTCAATTCAGATTGCTCTAACAGAATACCATAGACTGGGTGGCTTAGCTAACAAACATTGAATTCTAACAGTTCTGAAAGCTGGGAAGTTCAAGATCAAGGTGCCTGCAGACAGATCCAGTGTCTAGTTATGAAATTCTTCCTGGTTTGTAGATGTCCATCTTCTTGTTATATCCTCACATGGCCTAGGCCAGAGAGAAGAGGCAAGCTCTCTTGTCTTATTTGTAAGGGCACTAATCCCACTCATGAAGGCTGCACCCTCATGTCCAGTCACCTCCCAAAGAGTCTACTTACTTACTAATGCTATTATATTGGGGGTTGAGGGAACATAAACTTAAGTCTATAAGTACCATGGTAACAATGGCCTCATAAAATGAGTTGGAGAATGTTTTATCCTCTATTTTCTAAAAGACTGTGCATAAAATTAATATTACATATTCCTTAAATACTAGAGTCACCACTGAAGCCATGTTTTCCTGGAGTATTTTTTTCTGGTTGTTGTTGGAACTTGTTAAATCATGAATTCAGTTTATGCAAGATATATAAGACAAAACAGAATTTTTATTCTTTCTTAGTGAGTTTTGGTAATTTGTTTCTTTCAAGATTGTTTTACATTTTATTTAAATTAGCTTTTTTTATTGTCAAAACATTGTTCCAAATATTTTCTTTTTATTCTTTTGATATTTGAAGCATCTAATGCAATGTTACCTCATTTAAACCTGATATTGGCAATTTGTGTATTCTATATTATTCACCAGTCTTCCTAGTCATTATTGATTTTATTAATATTTTAAAGGAACCAGATATTATTTAGTAGTATGCTTTCAATAACATGTAAATATTCATACATTTTCTAGATATCTTATTGTTACCAATTTCTAATTTAATACTATTTTGGTCAGAGAATATATTCTGCATGATTTCAGGTCTTAGACAGTTACATAAATGTTTTTAAGATAGTTGTAGAAATG